AATCTCGTTCTCCGTGACCCCGAGCGCTTCCCGCAGTCTCCCGGCCAACTTGTCGGGTCGACCGGGTGCCTGCAGGAACGTCGCCCACCGGCGGGTGCAGTCGTCGCCCGCGTAGACGAAGAAGTCAGGGTAATGCTTCAGCAGGTCATCGGCAGCGACCAGCGGCTCCAGCAAGTGCAGGAGCAGGAAGAGACCCCCACGCAACCGGCGCTCCTCGCTGGCGGTCTGCAAGCTCTTCGCCTCCCTGCTGCTGCGGAGGACAGGGGCGGCGGCGTTGTTCTGGGCGTCCTGTCTGGATCCGTCGGCGTTGTCGCCCTTGCTCTTCGGCTTCCGCCCCTGTCGCAGCACCTCCTCCGGCTTGCAACCGCGCTTCTGATCCTCCCTGGCCTGCTGCCTCCCAGCGCGGCTCTGCTGCTGCTGCCTCCCAGCGCGGCTCTGCTGCCTCCCGGCGCGGCTCTGCTGCTGCTGCCTCCCAGCGCGGCTCTGCTGCCTCCCAGCGCGGCTCTGCTGCCGTCCAGCAGCGCTCTGTTTCCCTCGGAGGCGGAGCCGCTTCTTGGCAGGGGCGCCGCTCCTCGTGGACGCCGCGGGCCGCTTCCGCGCGCCCGGCACGCCAGCGTCGCCGGCCCCGTCCCCCTCCTCGTCGCACTCCCCGTCGAGGCCGGGGCTGTCCTCGCCGTCCGCGTCGCCGTCGCCGTCGCCGCCCGCGCCCTCCGCGCCGTCGACGACCGGCCCGGGCGGCCACGGGCACGCCTCGGCGCGGGCCGCCCTGGAGTCCACCTTCTCAAGGAAGATCATGCAAGGTATCTTGTGCTCGGTGCCAGGCGCCCACTGGACCACGTGCGGCCGATCGCCCAGGTCGTCTGCAGTGTACCAGCTCCCGTCCTCCTCGAAGTGAGCCACGAAGTGGCCATGGGGGTCATTCAGGAAGTGGGATGGGACGGCTTCCGATCCCTCGGGCAGGATGTACTGCACGTAGGCGCGCAGGCGGTACGCGACGTCTTCCTCCCCCGCCCTCAGAGCCACCTCCGGGAGGTCACCCCAGTAGGGCGCGATGTCGCAGCCGCCGAGGAAGAGCGCCGCGCCGTCGCCCCGCTCCCACCTCTGGGGCACGAGGACCGCCAGCAACTCGGGCTTCGATCGCAGTCGCCCGCCCATGGAGGCGCCGCGGCGGAGCAGCTCTCGCACGTCCAGTCGCTGCGCGCCCCCGTCGAGGAAGAAGTCCTGCGGCGACAGGGCGTCGTCGCCGTCGTCTGCCCCGTCCACGAATGCCGGGAGCCTCATCATGGCTTCCTCGTCGCATCCGGTCTGGAAGAGGCTGGCGAGACCAGGCGCGTCTTCCAGGATGAACGACAGCGCCTCACTCGCGTCCGCGTACCTCCCCAGCTTGAAGTCCACCCAGTGCTTCGCGAGGAACGCGTCCACGAAGGCGTGCGGGGACCAGCGGTCCACGCGGGCCGGCGCTGGCGCGGCGCCGCCGT